AATTCTTTTTTTTTTTCCAAAGTAAATTTTTTATAAAAAACCCTTTTTTACTTTAAAATAATATTAAAAATTGGGGGTGGTTTTTTTTTAAAAAAAAAAATAAAAAAAAATTTAATAAAAAAAAAAAAAAAATTTTAAATTTGTTGTTTTTTTAATTTACAACTAATTTCATTTTACAATTTTATTTTCGCTATTGATAAATATAATAATTAAACCCCTTAGCCCCCCCGGGGTAAAAATAAATAATTCATGCCATAAATAAATTTTAAAGGAAAAAAAAAATAAAGGAAAAAAAAAAAAAAAAAAAAAAACTCCAACTATATATATTTATATTACCATATAATCACAAATCATATAATCATATTTAAATTTAAATCATGATTTTAAATGTGTTTTTATTTATAATATCTAATAAAAAGAATTATTAAGAATCACAAAGAAAGAGAAAAAAAACAAATATACCCCACAAATTCACACACCTCTTTTTTCAAACAAACACCCACATATAAATTTATATCCAAATCACTTATATTTAACCTACCCACAAACCTCCCAAAATAACAATTAAAATATGATTATATAGAGTGTTTTAAAATATCAATTAATATATAAAACTCTAAACAAAAAAAAAAACTAAACAAATAAAAAACAAGTACTCATAAAATAAAAAAAACCAAAAAATTAAAAACAACCCCTAACACACACTTAATCACACACTAAAATTTTTATATTTAAATCCATATCAATCACTTTTTTCAATCATTTTAAAATTAAAATTAAAATTATTTTAATTTAGTGAATGATAAAAAAACATATATTAATAGTATAGTCTATGTTTACATATATGTACATTTTTTATTATATACACTACTATATCACATTGATAATAATATTTTTTATGTGGGGTGTGGGTGTATGTACCTTTATTAACCTATACACAAATTACAGATTTTATTTAATATCAAATATTAATAATTCCAATACAATCTAATCAATTTATTGTGTGTGACAATAGATTTTCAAAATTTTTATATAATTATATAATTATTTTATTTATTTAAAAAAAATTTCAAAAAAAAAAAAAAAAAAAAAAAAGAGAAAAAAAAAAAAGAAAAAAAAACTAGTAATATATAATTTTTTTAATTTTATTTCTTTATTTTTTTTTTTAATTTTTAATTAAATATCCAATAGTAATAAATTTGATTATAATAACATTAACTAATAATAACAAGCTATATAATAATAAAACAATATTTAAATTTTTTTTTTCTAAACAATAATTTTTTTTTTTACTATTATATTTTAATATATAAAGACTAAATTATATTTAGAGTTATTTTTTCTTTGTTTATTTGTGTTAATGTGTGGTAATATTTTAATATCAACAAAAAAAGAATATAATTAGAAAAAATATTCTTTTTATATTTATTTTTATTTTTAGTTTATTTTTTTTTTTAAAAAAATAATTCTGTATTTAATTAATTTTAATTTTTGTAAAATTATAAAAAATTTCTTTATTTTTTTATACACACATGATTTAATTTCACAACAATAACATCATATAAAACAATTATTTTATTGTCATATATTAATAATATTTTTTAAAAAAAAAATAAAACATATAATAATCATTAGAACTCTTTAAAATATTCAATAAATATTTTTTAAAATGATGGAAAATGATGAAAAAATAAAAAACGATGAAAATACCATAGGCAGCACTGGGATCAATAATAAAATTGAAATAGAAGAAATTAATAAAACAGAAAATATAGGCAAAGGGAATGAAAATATAGATCAAAATGTTTTAAAAAACAATATAGAAAATGAAAACAAAAACAATTTAGAAACTAAAGAAAATATAATAAAAACAAATAATACTAATAATAGTTGCAATGACAATGATAATAACAATAATATAATAAATAAAAATAAATATGACTTATGTAATAATAATAATAATAATAATATAAGTAAAAATAATTTAAATAACAATAATAGCAATAATAAAAACAAAGTTAAAAATAAATTAATGAAAGGAAATTCTGTAGAAAGCAATGCATCATTATATTCCCCAAATTTTTCAGAAAGAAGTGAAAATGGCTGCTATACTCCAAAATCTTATAAATCAGAAGCATCAATAATCAATATTCAAACATTATTTAATGATGACGATGAAACCGATGATAGTGAAGATTTAGATTTTGATGACGAAGAAGAGTTCGAAGCCCCAGAATTGGTCGATTATTCAGAAATGATTATTAATATATTATACCCAGTTTGTGTTACCATGATAATAGTTGTTTTAGCAATAAGATCAATTTCAAATTTGTAAATATTTTAAATATGAAAAATAAATTAAAACTATTAAATATTAACCTTTTTTTTTATTTAGTAAAAATGGATCTTCAACAGTTACTTTAACGAGCTCGCTGGATAATTCAGATGGGGCAGGTTCTTCAAACGCAGGTGGGGCAGATACAATGGTTTTCGATTCTCTTGTAAACTCTTTAATTTTTTTAGCTGTCATAATATTAAGTACAACTATTATGGTAGTTTTATATAAATTCAAAATGATGAAAGCACTATATGCTTGGTTAATGGGAACATCTATTCTTTTATTAGGGGTTTTTGGTGGTTTTTTGTTTTTGTAAGTAATTCAAATAAAAAATATTTAATAAAAACAATCTATTAATCAATTTTAAATAATTTAGAGTAATGTTAGCATATCTTAATTTAGGACTAGATTATATTACATTTGTTATTGTAGTTTGGAATTTCAGTGTTGGTGGTATTGTATGTATATTTTGGTATGCCCCAAAAATAATGAATCAAGGATATTTAATAAGTATTAGTGTTTTATTGGCATTATTTTTTTCAAGACTTCCAGATTGGACTACATGGGGAATTTTAACTGTAGTTTCAATTTATGACATCTTCGCAGTATTATGTCCTGGTGGACCATTAAAAATTCTAATTGAAACCGCTCAGAAAAGAGGAGAAGAAATACCCGCAATGGTATATAATGCAAGTGTATATGTTGGTATGGTAGATTTAGAAAGATTAGATGGTGCCGATGGTTCAATAACCCCTCCCCCTCCACTTCCAAAGTATATCAAAGATGAAAAACAAAAGAAAAAACAATTACAAAATACCCTTTTAAAAACTAGCTCCGATGGTAATATAATTGATGAAACAAACGACACTGTTTCAAATGTAGAATCAAATGTAGACTCTCAATCAGAATCTTCACAAAAAAGAAAGCAATCAATTAGATTAGGATTAGGTGATTTCGTTTTCTATAGTGTTTTAATTGGAAAGGCTGCTTCATATGAAATTATTACTGTTTTCACTGTTTTTATTTCTATAATCACTGTAAGTACTTTTATTAAATTATTTTCTCTATTTTTAATTTTTTACTAATCTTTTTTTTAATATAGGGTTTATTTTTAACATTATTTTTATTGGCTGTTTTTAAAAAAGCATTACCTGCTTTACCGATGAGTATTATTTTAGGTATTGGTGTATTCTTTTTAACATTTAAAATATTAATACAGTACATATATTTCTTGGGATCAAATCAAATTTTTGTATAGTTAAATAAAAAAATAAAAAAAATAAAAAAATAAATAAAAAGATTTCTTTTTTTAAAATACTAATCCCTAGTATTTTTTAAAAAAAAGATATTATAATTAAAAAAGAAAATATATAATAATATATAAAAAAAACTTTAATTTTATTTATTTACAAGTAATACAAATTTTTATCTATACATTTATTTATATTTTACTATTATTTTTGCTATAATTGTTTGTTTCTGCAGATTCCTTTCCATTATCTTTGTTCTTTTTGGGTATGTGTATTTTATTTTTTAGTTTTTTCTTCTTTTTCTTCAATTGCTTTTTCTTTTGATTTATGGCTCTTTTTATTCTTTTGTTTATCTTTATGAGTATCTTTTTTCTCTTCATCTCTGTTTACCGAAGCACCCAATGATGATGGAATAATATTAATTAAATTATATGGTGTTCCTGGTGTTTCACCTGATGATGTTGCAATGTCACCTGTTTTTTGTAATGATATTTCTGGTGTTGATTGAGATGGAGATGATTGTTGGTTTTTTTCAAAGGATTCTTTTTCTAATAAATCACCTATAGACTCTTTGCCTTCTTTGTTGGTCTCTGGGTCAATATAGTGATTTAATGGTTTTCTTGTATACTCCTCTTTATTAATATTTTCCAAAGCAGATGTAATACCCTTTTCATATTTATTTGGCATATGGTCTGTAAACATTGAATTTGAAACAATAATTTTATCGTAAGATTTTTGATCGGTTGCTTCTGCAACATAGATACCCTTTGACAACTTTACTAAACGGAAAATATTACCCGGTGGGAAAAGTGATTGCTCGTCAGATGGTGAGTGTGAAACATTCGTTAAATCAATAGTTGGTGCAACTTTTAAAATTTTACTAAATCGCTTAGTCATTTTTTGACCCAAATTATTACCTGATGAAACAATTTGAAATACTTTTTGAATTTTGGTTTTGCTTTGGAGTAAGATTGAATCTATAACCTCTCTAAGGTAGAATAAAGAGTTGAATGATAGTCTTGGAATAATATCATCGTTCATACAATATGTTGTAATTAATGATTTAATTTTTGGGTGTGAAGCGACTTCTAATGATAATATACATGGTACGCCATAAGCAAAACAGTGAATTGGGATTTCTGGATGCATGTCATGGAAAAGAATTGTGAATAAAGAAGCGACACCAGCACCGAGACTATGGCCTGTAACTACCAATCTATAACCTTTGTAAATATCCAGTGTTTTTCTAATTAGCACATACATCTCTTTCATCTTCATATGAGCACATAACAAGATACCTAAATGAGCACACCCATCCATATAGAGATATGACTTTGCAACTAAATCGGTAATTACATCAAAATAATTAAAAGTACCTCTTAAAACAAATACCAATGATTTCTTTTCGTGGTCTAATGCTAAATAGTGGCCTGGACTGTATTTGGAACTAAACCATTTTGATGTAATAATATCTTCTTTCTTCACACCTGTATGCTTTGAAATAATTTTTAAATTTGTGGAATCGGTTCCAACTACACCTTTTAAAAACTTAATGAATCCTGAACTCATTAAACCGTAATATAACTTTCTACCATAAGCAGCAGTACTAAATCTAATGTAACGTAAACCCTCCTCTAACTGCTCCTTATTTGACATACAATCCCAGTTTCTAATTACAATTTCTTTGTAATAACCTTTAAAAAAAAATAATTAATTTAATTGTTCATTTAATAATACTAATATTAGCTATTTAAAAACACTTACTATTTAATAATACCAATCCCATAAATAAATCGATTTTACTATATTTCTTTTTAAGGAACAATTTATTTAAAAGCTCGGATATAACCTTCATTGATTTGTTTGCCTGTTCAGATAAATGTTTACCCTCTTCAATGATATTATGGCAAGGTTCTTCCAATTCGCTTATATTAATTTCTGGTAGTTGCTGCGAATTTCTTCTAAACTTTAATTTTTTTCTAAATGAAGGTTTTCTTTCGATTTGGGTTTGGACCAATTTACATGTAACTGGGCTTTCAAATGCGCTAATCTCTGTAACGACCATTTTACCTGGAGCATCTGGTGTTAATGGTGATTCATCTGATGAAGATGAGTCACTGACCTCTATTCTATCTGGCATTACAGTTGGTGAATCTTGTGGTGGATTCTCGGTTTCTTTGCTTCTGAATAAAAGATTTGCTTCTCTACCATTAACTTCCAAACCTCTTTTCATTATTAGCGGTGTACTGGTATCAAAAAGGACATCGTGAATATCACCCCTTACAAGCTCATCATCTGATGTAACTGGTGAAGCTGGTGCTGATAGTGAAATTGGTATTTGACCTTCACCTTCACCAAAATCTCTTGATTTGAATATGAATACTTTATCCTTTTTTAAACTAATTGATGACTTGAAAGTTTCCGATAACTCTTTTTCTAAATCGCCAGAAATTGAAATAATTGGTGTAATTGTTTTTCTATAATCATAATGATCATTATCTTTTTCTGCAATTTGTTGAAGAACATTTAATTCATTTCCAATGCTTTTATTATAAATCGTATTATTACTATTTTGATTATTATTATTTGAATTATTTGTATTGTCTGAACCATTAATACTACTATTACATTCTTTTTTATTACCGTGATGAATATTACAATTTTTATCAAGAGTGCATTCATCCAGTGTGGCACTATTACCCAAATCCCTTAAAATACTATTAATATTTTCACCAATTGGCCTCATTTTCTCGCCTTCTTTTATATCTTTATTATTATTACTATTATTATTACTATTAGAACTATTATTACTATTATTATTATAATAAGAAATTAATTTATTATTTAATATATTAACATTATTATCATTAATTAAGTTATCAACACTACTACTATTATTATTGTTATTACTACCAGTATTAATCTTATTACACTCTGTATCATTATAATTGTTGTTATTACTATTATGAATGTTTATATTATTATTATTAAACTTTATATCTGATGTATGATCTCTTTGTTCATTTACAATTTTATTTGTAAATATCCATTCTTTTTCTGTAACATCAATATTCATATCTTCATCATGCATATCCCTTGAACAGTTGATATCACTATTATTAGAGGACATCTTTTTTTTTAATTATTTTTTTTATTTTTTTTTTTTGTGGGAGGGGTAAATTTTTTTGTAAGGAGGTTTATAACAATTTTACAATTATTACCACTAATTTAATATTATATTATTTTATATTATATTTATTAATATTATTGTTATTACTGTTATGTGGAATCTATTTTTATCTTTATTTATCTGTATATCTATTTAAAAATATAAAAAAACTTTGTTTTATTTGGATTTATTTAAATATTTAAAGTTAAAAATTTATATTTTATTTTATTTCTATGTTATTAAAATAATACACAATATTATTACAAAAACTATTATTATTATTATAAAAAATAAAAAAGGATTGAATAGATTTTTTATTTGATTAATTAACTATTTCATTTAATTTGAATTTTATTGAAATTAAATGTGAGATTCCTTATTTAAACTATTTGATAGTTTTAATTTAAAAATAGTTATTTCTTTTTGGAAAAATAAATAGATTAACAAACATAAAAAAATAGAAAAATAAAAAAAAATTTATTTTAATTTTTTAATTTAAAATAAAGTTATTATTTTTTTATTTTATAATATTATAAATAATAGCAATTATTATTATTTATTATTATTTCTTTTATTATTATTAATGTTATTAATAAAAAAAAATTTTAAAATAAATGAATAATTTTAAAAAAAAATTTTATTAAGCTAATATTAAAATTAAAATAATTTAAAAATTTTGAAGAGAATGAATGTGTGTGTGGGTTTTTTTTTTGTGTGGGTGGGGTGTGAGAGTATGAGTGTTATTTATTTATTTTTATTTATATCTAAAAAATAATTAGATTTCTTATACAAATCAAATTAAGTTTTCTCCAAAATGTTTGCAAATTTGGGGTGTTTGTGGTTGTGTTGTGGTTAAAAATTTTTTTTTTTTTTTTTTTTTTTTTTTTTTTTAAAAATTATAAAAAGACACAAATAAAAAAAAAGTTTTTATAATTTTATTTTTTAAAATAATAAAAAATAAAAAATAATTTTTTTTTTTATTTTAAAAACTATATAGTGGTTGTTAATTGAAAAATAAACATATATTAAAAAAAAAAATGAAAAATTATTAACAGTAAAAACACCAATTTGTGCAATACAATTAATTATCTAAATGGATAAAAAAAAATGAAAAAAAATATAAAATAAATAAAACTAAGTTTTTTAAAAAACTATAATTTAAATTTAAAAAAAAAAAAATTTTTAAAAAAATCGAAAAGATATCTGTTCTCAAAAAAAAAATAAACCTTTAAAAAAAAAATTCGAGAAAAAAATTCGAAATAATAGCAATAATTTTTTAATCAAATTAATATATATTGTATAATGTACATTGATTGACGTTCCAATGATGTTTATTTATTTGGACATGATTTTTGATGTTGTCATTGCGTGATTTTTCGTTGTATTTTTTAAAATTTTTTTTTTTTTTTTTTTTTGTTTTCATTAATTATATTGTTTAAGCTTGTGATTCATCGTTATTATTGTTATTTTTGTTATTTTCAGAAGCTTTTGCCTTGTTAATAACTTCACTATTTACATTAATTTCAGCTTCGCTCTTTGAGGCTAATGATAGTGATGATAATCTTGGGAATTGTTCACCACCAGTGTAAACAATACCAAGTTGTGGGTGGTTAGATGGTTGAACATTGTTGAAACCTTGAGCACTAGCTGAGAAAGATCTACCAACTGATTGATTATTATAGTCTTGAGTAGTGTAACCTCTTGATTGATCTTGAGTGGTACGACCCATTGAGTCCATTGATGTACCAATAGAGTCGACTGAATGTTGTTGACCTGAAAGAATTTTCCAAACTTTTGGCAAGAAAAGTACGGCTACAGTAACAGTGAAACCAAGTAAAATTGCAATAATTTGAATTACAATAATGGCGGTTGGATTATCTCTTAAAATGAAACCAAGTGCAATTGAAACAATCATAACAAATGTTAAATTGTATAACTAAATATTTAAAAAAAAAATCAGTAAAAATATAAAAATGAAATTTAAAATAAATGATAACACTTACAGCTAAAGTAATTGGTTTTGATTCATTTAATGAATCAACAACATCTCTAGTTTTGAATGCTAAAAATACACCTACAAAGATATAGAAAACTTTATAGAATACAAAAACATACCACCATGCTTCAGAGTCAGAGGTACATTGAAGTTGAGCTTCACCAGCTTTGTAAATTGGTTCTGCTAATGGGATTGGTCTATCGATGGTGGTCCAAAGAATCATAAAGATACTTTCTAAGAGGATGAAACCACCTACAAGAGTGAGAATATATTGGTTGGTAATACGAATAACTTTGAATTTTCTAGCATTAGAGAATAATCTCCATGTTCTCCAAGTTTTGGTGAAAAGTGAACCAAATAAGATAACATAACCAAGACCAAGTAACCATGGGAAACTTGAACATAATGGAACGGTTGGTGATGGAAGAAGAACAAATACTGATGATAAACCTAAAAGAGCACCGATAATAATGAACATGCAGAAAAGTGGTGATGAGTAACGGAATTTTCTCCATTGTAATACAATGACGGCACCAATGAATAAAACGATTAAAATGCAAACACCTGTAATAACACCTAAAACTATATTTAAGGTCTTGTCGTAAACAATTACTTGATAATCTGATGGAACAGCGTATGATGGGCCTGAATAAAGAATATCTTGGGACAAAGAGATGGTTCCATTATTTGGATCGATAAAACCAATGATATCGAATGAACCTTTATTGTAGTCGATAAGATTCAAAAGAGAGAAAACACCGTGAAGTCTATCACCAGTAGTTGGATCGAATGAAATAGTACCAGTAATACCTTCGAATGTGATTGTTCTAATTGATTCTAAAAGATCTGAACCCTCCCAAACATCCTTGCCATTTTCTAAAGCGTGATCCATAGCTTTTAACATGGCAAATGCAGCATCATAAGAGAATGAAGCACCTTTAAAGAATGATCCATCTGTTGTACCTGATTCTTTAATGATATATTGTTCAAATTCATTGAAATTATCATCTGCATTGTATCTTGGGAAAGTAGCAAGAACACCAACAATAGACTCGTTGTAACCATTTGTTAATTCAGCACAACCATCAGTTACGATCCAAGTGAAACCTTTACCCATGAAACCTCTTTCTTTAGCTTTTTCCCAAACACCTAAACAATCTTTTGGGAAAATAGCATAGAGTACAATAACTCTAGATTTGGCAGCAGCTAAATTATCAAATACAATATCGTACTCTTCTTTTGTTGGGACGTCATCTCCATCGATTGCTGTAATAGCTTGATTAGTGTTAACAGTAATACCTCTGGCATTTGATTGTTGAACTAATTGATCGGCACCACCATTACCATAATCTTCATTGGTATGAACACATGAAATACGGGTCCAACCATTCTTTTCTACTAATGAAAGAATGGCTTTAACTTGTAATCTATCGTCTGGCATAACACGATTGAAATATGGGTATAAACTTGGGTTTGAGAGATCAGTACCAGTGGCATAAAAACTAATACTTGGAACACTGAAAGCACCATAAACTAAACAAGATGTTGAAGATGAACCTGAATAAGCTGGACCAATAATACCTGCAACTGGATATTGAACCATACTTAAAGAGTCAAGGATGTCGTTTGTATCCTCAGCGAGTCTATGTAATACAATAGATTTCCCTCTTTTATTGAATGCCTCTTCCCATTTACTGAATGCATATTTTGCACCAGTTATATATTGATCGAACTCTATATCACCAATAGGTGCCACAAAACCAATGACAATTTCACTTTCATTTTTTGGTGGATAATCTTTATCTATACCATAATTTCCTTTGAATAATAAATTTAATAAAAATAATACAAAAATAAATTTAAATATTATTCTCATTTTTTTAATCGCTAAATATCTTTAAACTGTGTCTTTACTATTATTATTATTTTATTTATAATATACAAGAAAAAAAATAAATAAATAATTTAAAATAATAATAATAATGATGAAGAGTAAAACAAAAAATATATTTTTTTTTTTTTTTTTTTTTTGCTTTATCCTATATAAAATTTACGAAAATAAAAATAAACAATACAGGTGGTATTGAAAACAAAAATAATTACTCTTTTTTTTTTTCAAACTGATATTATTACAAAAAAAATAAATAAAAAAAAAAAAATAAAAAATAAATAAAAAAAAAAATTATTTAAAAAAATTTTTAACTGATATTATTTTTGCAATAGTCGTGGATTGCAACTACTGCACTGTTGTAAAAAGATCTTTTTCTATCCAGTTTTTTCAGTGCTCGAAAAAATTATTATTATTTTTATTATTTTTCTTTTTTGATTTTGATATACACCAAAAATCATTTCAAACCTATTATTAGGTTTAGAAAAACTGTATTTTTCATCCTGAAATTATTATAATAAAATTTTTTTTTTTTTTATTGTTTATTTATTATAACAACAAACATTGCAAAAAAAAAAAATAAAAAATAGTGAACAAATAACTTTGAGATTATAATTTTTTTTTTTATAATTTTTTTTTTAAATTTTGATTACATTTATTTGATTTTTATTTAGATATAAAAAGATTATTATTATGCCATAATGATTTATTTTAAATTCCAAAAAATCTTTTCTAGATTTTTTTTTTCCCACCCACAATATCTTTTTTTCTAAATTTTAAAAAAAAAAAAAAAAAAAAAAAACCTTGGGGGTCCCCCCCCCCCCTTTTTTAAATTTGCCCCTCCAAAAAAAAATTTAAACCGAAAACCCCCAAAAGGTGGGTGGGTTTTTAAAATTTTTTTTAAAAATTTTTTAATTTAAAATTTTTTTTAAAAAAAAGTTTTTTTTTTTTTTTTAAAAAAAAAAAAAGGGTTTTTTTTTTTTTTTTTTTTTTTTTTGAGTTTAAAAATTATTTAGATTAATGAGATATTAACTCTTCTAAACAAACCTTTAAACATCATATTAAAATTAATTTAATGACGCATTGGTTCTCTTCTTCTTGGAGCAGCTCTTAAGATATCATCTACTCTCATGATCATTTCGGCAGCTTCGTGAGCACTGATTAAAACTTGTTGTTTGACTTTAAATGATTCAACAATACCTAATTCTTCGACATTACCAATACAACCATCTCTCATATTGAGACCAGCTTTGATATCACCTTGGTAGTGAGCGGCTTTTAATTGTGAAACTAATTCGGAGCTATCATAACCAGCATTGTTTGCAATAATAGTTGGAATTTGACGAAGAGCTTTGGCGAATGATTCGATGGCCATAGCTTTTTTACCTGGAGTGATGGCAGCTAATTCATCAACAGCTTTTGACATAATCATTTCGGAACAACCAGCACCTAAAACAGTACGAGTTTCACCTACAGTGACAGCTAAAACACAAAGAGCATCATGGATTGAACGTTCGGCTTCTTCGAGGATATGTGAGGTGGCACCACGGAGGACAATAGTACAAGCTTCACCACTTGGAACACCAGAGAATCTAATAACTTTATCTTCACCAATCATAACTTCTTCGATTAATTTACAGGTACCAATTTTAACGAGTTCTGGATGGTCAAAGGTTGAAACAATTTCGGCACCAGTAACTAAGGATAAACGTTCAATACCATCGAAATCGGCATGTTCAATTGACATAACACCATTATCAGCGAAATATTGTTCTGGAAGGTTATAGATTAATTGACGATTGATGAAACAATTGATACCGTGATCGACGATTTTTTTGCATTTAAGTAACATTTTTTCTTTTTCAGCTTCTTCTATTTTGGAGAGTTCGGTCATTGAATCTACAACAACTTTACCACCGAAAATTTTAATCTTATCAGTGTCCATAGCAGTGTTAGCAATTAAAATCTTTGGGTTTTCTAAACGTTTTGGACAACCAACACCAATTTTCTTTTCTAAAATGAAACCTTCATCTAAATATGAATCACGTAATGAACCACCACTCTTTTTAATAATATGAATGTTATCTAAATTGGTACTACCTTTTAATCTTAAAACTGCATCAACAACCATGTTGGCGAAATGTTCTTTTTCTGTGTGTAAAATTTTTGATGATAATGTAGTTTTGGCTATATTGATTAAATCTTGTCTAAATTTATCTGTATAGTAAAATAAATTATTGGTTAATATAATATTTGTGATTAATACTTGATTATAATAATAATAATAATAATAATAATAATAATAATAATAATAATAATAATAATAATAATAATAATAATAATAATAATAATAATAATAATAAAAAACAAACCTTTATCTGATGAATTGTCATTGGTTGAGGTAGTTAATGCACCACGAGCAGCTTCGAGTGCCATTCTCCAACCACTAATAATGGTTTGTGGATGAACTTTTTGTGCAACTAATCTTTCACCTTCTCTTAATAATTCACCTGCTAAAACACATACTGATGTTGTACCATCACCAACTTCATCATCTTGAGTTCTAGAGATATCTACTAAAATTTTTGCTGCTGGGTTGTCAATGTAGATCTTTGTTAAGATGGTAGCACCATCATTTGTAATAATAAGTTCATTTGGGTTACTTGCTGAAATTAAAATTTTATCCATACCCTTTGGACCTAAGGTGGTTTTAACTAAATCAGTAATTGCAATAGCACCAACAAATGATGACTATTTATAAAAATAAAAAAAATATTAGTTTTACATGTTTTTAATATCTTTTTATCTATTATGATGATTTTAACTCTTATTATTATTATTATTATTTAATTATTATTGTTTCATCATTTTTTATTTGTGTGATATTTACTAAACGAGCAATTTCACCTCTTTCTTCTGAGGCATTTTGATTTAAAATTGGAATTGGAGCTAATTGACTCTATAATAAATAAACATAAATAAAAATTAGTAAAAGCTTTTTAATATGAATTGTAAGAGTTGGGTAATATAAAATTTTGTGCAATGAAACATTTCATAAATCTTTATAGATTTCATAGTTTCCTATATTCAAAAACCTATGCCATGTATATATATTTCCAAAATTTAAAATAATATCGTTCTTTAAATTTATGATACCTACTGACATTGTTGCCTATTATTTATATTTATAATCAACGATATTCAAAAGTTGATATTAAAATAAAAATACAAAAAAAAATTATTTAAAAAAATTTTAAAAAAATTTGAAAAAAAAAAAAAATTTTAAAATTTTTTTTTTTTTTAATTTTTATTTTTTTATTTTTTTTTGGTCGAATTTCAAAATTATTTTTCATAGCCAATTTGTTCATATTTAATTTATTTGTAAAATTATCTTTTATTTGATTATAAAAATAAAAAAGGAAAAAAAAAAAAAAAAACCAATAAAACCAAACAAATAACAAATAATAAATAATTTTATTATAAAAATAACATAGATGTAAAATTATAAAAATTAAAATTTTTTAAAAAAATAATCCACAAACATGATTTATTGATTTCAAAAAAAATTTTAATTGGAATTCAAATTTCATTTAACTTCGTGTTAAAAAATTTCCTTTTATTTTTCTTTTTTTTAAATATTAAAAATATTTTTTTTAAATTTTTTTTTAAATTTTTTTTTTTAAATTTAAAATATTTTTAATTTTTTTAAATTATTTTTATAAATTACCACATATACACACAAATAAAAATTTTGAATAACTATAATATTTTAATAACTAATTAACAAAAATTATTTTGTATTTTATATTTTATATTTAAAATTTCAATATTAATTAAAAAAACATAATAAAAAAGCTAGGATAGCAATAATTATACAAAATATAAAAAAAAAAGAAAAAACATAACAAACTATAAATATAACAAATAAAAAAAAAAGGAAAAAATAAAAGATAAAAAAAAATAAAATGAAAGTTTATTCAATTGGTATTTTTAAAGTTGCACAAGGTTCAAAACCAGTTTTATTAAGTATTGTATACGAGTTATCATCATTTGGATTCTTCCAAAGAGGATCAGTTAAAGAGGTATCATTATTTGTATCAAGAGAAACAGCTGGTAGAACCAATGTAGGCGAAAGAGTTAGTATGGAACACACACAGACACAAAAAGTATGTCATACCACAGTAGATGCTAAGGGAATAGGTTGCACTGTTTTAACAGATTCAGAATATCCAAGTCGTGTCGCACATAATTTAATTCGTGTATCAATGGAGGAGTTTTATAAGGCACATCCAGAACAAGAATGGAAGGGTATTCAAGCAGATACTGAATTACCAACTCCACAATTAGATCAATTATTATTAAAATACCAAAATCCAGAAGAAGCAGATCCAATGATGAATCTTCAAAAAAATTTAGACGATACAATTACCATTGTTAAAAAAACAGTTGAACAATTGGGCCAAAGGGGCGAAAAGCTTGAAGAAATTGCAGCTAAAAGCGACGATCTTAGTTTCCAAAGTAAGGCATTTATGAATAATGCTGAAAGAATGAACAAGTGTTGTGGCTATGTATAAATAATTAAATAAAAAGTTTTATAATATAAATTAAAGTTTTAAGAAATAAAAGATAGTATCTATCTTTTTTTTTTATACTTTTATTTTTTTTTTTAAATAAACTACATACTTTGTTTTGTTTTTATTTTATAGAATCTAATTAAAAAAGGAAATTTAATTTCTTTTCTTTTTTTTTCTTTTTTTATTTTTTTATTTATATACACCTATTTTTATTTATGTTTGTATTTTAAAATAAAAACTTATCATTTATATAATCTAGAATACCAGAAACCGTTTTTATTTTATTAAATTCTGATTTTTCTAAAGTTAAAAAGTATTTGTTAGTAAATGTAACCTATTGTCATTTAGATTGATGAATAAAAAAAAAGTATAGTTACCATTTTTATTTTGATATTCGTAAAGCATGTAGATTAAATGTCTGTGGAAAATGATTGGATGAAGACCACCGTATTCGGAATAGATGTTTATAAAGTCCTCGATACACTCGATCGGGGTTTTGTCGTAGCCCATGAACAATGCTGGGTTTGAAAGTAGACCTCTTGCGGCCATTACACCATTAACACCAGTCTTTTCTTTGATTGTATTTGCTTGCTCTAATGTAAAAACATCACCGTTGGCAAATACAGGTAGTGATGTATTTTCTTTAACTAATTTAATTGCATCATAGTCTACTGGGTGTGATGATCTCATCGCACTTGTTCTACCATGAACTGTAATCCACGATACACCAATTTTCTCAGCTCTTTTGACTAACTCTATTGTTTTATTTAAATCTGGTTGAATTCTAATTTTAATTGAACATGGTACTGGCACTCTATTGTTAAGTTGTTTAACCATGTCGTAAATTTTATCTGGATTTAATAAAAGATTTGCACCATAGCCTTCTTTCATTACCCATCTTTGTGGACATCCACAATTTATATCGATACCAGAGCAAGTATTGGCTACTTTTTCAGCAGCAGCACACAACTCTTCTGCATTATTTACACCAAATTGAACAATCATTTGATCTTCGAATTGATTGGTTGTGTAATCTGAATCTCTTGCACTTTCACTTCTATTAAACTCTGCTGCCATGATCATTGGAGTATATGTAATATCACAACCCCATTTTCTACATAACATTCTAAATGGTAGTCTCGAAAATCTGACCATGGGTGCTTGAATTTTCATGAATTCGCCATTATTGATTTTATCTAATAAACTTTGTTTTTTATTATCATATAATTTTACAATATTATTTCCATTTATTTCTTTAATTTCTTCGAAAGTGGTCATTATATATTTATTTGAATTTTATTTAAACAGTTGTTAATTTAAATATTTTTAAATAAATAAATTTAAAAATAATAAAAAAAATAAAAATTAAAAAAAAATTTTTTCGTTTTTTTTTTTTTTTAATTATTTTTTTTTTTAATTATTTTTATTTTTTTATTTTTTTACACAAATCTTAAAGATAATTAATCATATATAAAATATACATAAAATGACATTAGCATCAGCCCCAAACGCTACAGATTCATGTAATTCATTCATTCCACCATCATTTGATGTTAACAAAGTCGAAATTGTAATTTAAATCACAATTTAATATAGCACTATAATATATTTAACAAAGAACCAATTGCTAATAATAAATTATTTCTATACCTAGATTTCAGATAGACCAGATTGCGCAACATTTATTTTTACAGATGAAGATCATACATTAGGAAATTCATTACATTATGTTTTAATGAAAAAGTAAATATTAATATTATATATTATCTATTGGACCATTTTTAAAAAAGTTAACTAAATATTAATATCATTTTTGTATTATTTAGCCCAAAGGTTGATTTTTCAGGTTATAGTATTCCACATCCATCAGATAATAGAATGAATCTTCGTATTCAAACTAAAGGTCACATTTCAGCACAAGAATCATTATTACAAGGTTTAAATGATATTAAAGATATTTCAGCCCACATTTTAGATACTTTTAACAATACAGCCGATAATTAATTTATAACCAAAAAAAAAAATAAAATAAAAAACCCTCAAAATTGTATACATTTAAAATAAACATAATTGGATGTTTAAACAAAAAAAAGACTCACAAATAAATCAATATCGATACATAAAATATATTGATTTTTTTTTTTTTTTATATACAAAAATAATTTATTAATTTATTTATTTATTCATATTGTTATTGTTATATTATTATAATTTTTGTTTTTTTTCATTGTTTTCTTCAGTAGTATTAGTTGAAGAGCTTGGGAATGATGGTTGAATGCCTCCCATAAGATCTTCAAGTCTTCTTTTTGGACGTGGTTCTGAAGTGGTACTAGTAGCAGAGGGGTTTTGGGATGGTGGTGGAGTGCTTCTTCTGGCAGCTTTACCTAAAACGCCAAATGTTTTAACAGGAGTAGTTGGATTGGATGGGGTGGCAGCAGCTTTAGTTGCAAACACTGGTTGTTGTTCATCTTGTTGGAGCTCTTTTGGTACTGGTTCTTTTGAGGTATCAATTGGAGTTACTTCAATTAATTTGGTATTAATATCTGCAATGAATAATTTAATATCTTGGAGTCTCTTTTCAAGTTCTTCAACTTTTTCTTTATTATCCTCTCTGACTATTTGATCTTGGACTTGTTTAAACTCTTTATTTAAGAAATCGATGGCTGAACCATAATATTTTTCGGCAAGTGACATATTATGGTAAATGTGGTATGCACATGCAAGTGAGTGGTGGATATCTGCAAAGGTTTTATAGTCGTTTAATCTAGATTCTTCCATAATTTTAAAAGCGGTTTCATATTCTGAAATTGAGGTTTCAAATTGATCTAATAATAAAGAATACCTTTTGGTTAGTATTAATGCACATTAATATATGTATATTCTATTTTCTCTATAGTTACCTGTATCAATAAAGAAATCACCTAAAACTAAATGAACTTTGCAAAGTTCAAGTGGTTTATTTGCCATTTTTTCATAAATAATTCTAGCAGTTTCAAATGATTCATAGGCAATTTGAACGGCACTGACATCCTCTTCACCTTCACCCTCACCTTCGCCTTCACCATTTTCTGTTTTTTCTTTTGATGATAAATCTGGTTTCTTATTGTCACCATCTTCTTCATCTAAATCTTCTGCTTCTTCAATTAGTTTTTCTGCATTTCTATCTGGTGTGTTTTTATCTGAAGCTGCTGTGTTTGTTGTAGTGGTGGTAGTGGTGGTAGTGGTGGTGTTTGTTGTAGTGGTGGTGCTATTTTGAGTTGATGGGATATTGCCATTGGCGAAATCTGGGTTCTCCATTAAAGTTTTGCTTAAAGCATTCTTGAAATTATCGATTTCTTCTTGCTTGGTAGCTGAAATTAAACTATTACCATATTTAATATAAAGTTCTGCAACTCTTGGTGAAAGTTCGCCATAAACAGCACATCTTTAAAATAAATTAGTATTTATTAATTAATATTCTATTAAATTCAATACTTACAACTCTTTTAATGCATCCTCATATAAAAATGATGCAGTTGAATAATCTTTTTGTTCCATTAAAACATCTGCGCCCTTTTCTTTACCTCTTGCACTTCTAACAATATCTTTGGCATCTTCAGCAGATACAATAGCATCACCAACTTGAACACCTTCACCTTCCTCAGCTTCTGAAAAACCATAGCTATCTGATTCTGATCCTTGTTCATCACCACTTTCTTCGCCACCATCTTCTTCTTCTCCTTCTTGTTCTACTTTGTTTTCTTCTGTTTCAATTTGAGGGGTTTCAGTTGATGGTATTTTAGTTGTTGGAATGCTTTCATCCATTTCTTCAATTGTTGGGTTTTCCATTTGTTTATACTGTAATTTAAATATATATATATAAATATAAATAATAAATGGATTTAACTGTGTGTTTTTTTTTTAAAACTGATTTGTGTGGTGCAGATTCTAAATTAAAAAAATAAAAAATAAAAAAAGAAAAAAAAATAAAAAAATATAAAATTTTTTTTTAAATTTTTTAAATTGTGTTATTTTTTTTTTTTTAGGGCGGGTAGACTTAATGGGGGTGATAGCTTGCTTGGTATATTTCCAAAAAATTTTTTTAATAAGGATTAAATTTTTGGTTTAATATTAAAAAATTTTAGTTTTAGATATATTTGGTGGAAAAAGTAAGTTATTTTAATTATTTTAAATTTATTTTATTATTTAAATAATTAACTATTTTTTATTTTGGTTTTTATTTTTTTTTAATTTTTTTTAAATTTTTTTTTATAATTTTTTTTTATTTTTTTATTTTTTAATTTATTTTTTTTATTTTTCTAATTTTTTCTAACCTTTTTATAAATACTAGTTTTCAATTTAAAAATAGTTTTACTATTCAATTTTTACCAATGTTATGAATAGTAGCAATCAATTTTATGATGACTATGTTTATGAGTCACCTCAAATGCCAACCATAACTCCATACCTATATGGTATTAAACTATCAGATGGTTACAATTTTAATACAAATAACTTTTTTGGTACTAACCATATGTGGGGTTATCAAAGCATAGATTCAAATAAGAATATAACGGTGAATCATAATCATCAATCAGGCTATTTAAATAGTATAAATAATAATAATAATATAAATCAATCTATAGGTATTTTGGGCGGTTACAATGATCGTCGTGGGGGGATAATCGATAATAGTAAAAAAAAAATTCAAGGTAATAACGATTATTACCCACTATACAATAAAATATCAAACTCAATATCTTCAACTATTTCTCCTCCTATAACACCAATCAAAATATTAAATAATGATAAACCAAAAAATAATAATAATAATAACAATAATAACCACTTTTCTTCATATAATAATATAAACACTGTAAATATTCATAACTCAACATCTTCCAATACACTACCAAATAATATAAATAATATAAATAATATAAATAATATAAATAATAATAATAATAATAATAATAATAATAATAATAATAATAATAATAATAACAATAATAATAGGGATGACGATGATGATAATAGTTATAATCATAGCAATAGTGATAGCGATAATAACAATCACATCAAAGTCCCACTCACACCATCATCAATTTCAAAGAAAAAAAAAAAGAAAAATAGAGCAATTTGTAAAGGAAAATTTTTAAATGGAAAACCATGTCCCTATGCATCGCAAACTGGGAAGCTCTTTTGTTTGGCACACGATCCCGATAGACAATGCCAAGCTTATGTTGGTAGTTCTCGTTGTTCAAAAAATACTATAGAGGCAGGCTCAAGATATTGTATCGTCCATTGTGGTAGAACTCCACCGTCAAACTAATATGTACATTTATTTCATATTCTAAAAAAAAAAAAAAAAAAAACTGGAAAATAGCATTTGGTTTTTAAATAAATTATAATAAATAAAAATAGCTTCAATTTTAGTTTTAGATATACTGTATATAATTTTTTTTTATTTATTTTTTTTTTTAAAAAAAGTAATTTTAAAATTCTAAAATTATAATATTCTCTATTTTTATTTTATTGGATTATTAATTTAATATTCCAATCATTGCGCCAAAAAAAAGTTTTTTTAAATTTTTAAAAAAAAATTTTATTTTTTTTTTTTTTTTTTTCTTTCAAATGATTTATTAATTTTTTGTATTAAATATATGTATAGTTTATAATAGCTAATAAGTTTAAAATAATAAATAAAAATCAACAACAAATAAAAACAATTAATTAAATAATTTATTAATAATAATTATAATTATAAATTAATAAATTTTAATTTATATATTAAAATTTAATAATAAATATTTAAAATGGAAAGCATATCACAATCAAAAGACTATTCATATCTTATTCAGCCAATTAGAGATTTAGCAGAAAATTGGAATATTGATATATCCAAAGAATTGGAGGATTATTTATCTGATTTAGATAAAATCTCATTTACGTTCGATGGAGGAGATCAAAATAAATCGTTTAATTTTGCAGAGGCTGCATTATTAATCCAAGGCTCTGCTGTAATTTATAGTAAAAAAGTAGAATATTTATATAATTTATTATTTCAAACATTGGATTTATTAGCCCAAAGAAGGTAAATAACGAAATTTAATTAATTTATTAATAAACCAACCATCGCAATTAAAAATCAAAATGTATTAATTATTTATTTATTTATTTTTATTTCTTTATTTTTATTATTATAGAAAAAGAAAAGACAATACATCAATTATGGCAGATGGTACAGATAGAGATATTCAATTAGATGATGAAGTAGAGTTTTTGGCTCTAGATGATATTTTAGTGGCAGATGAAAATATAGATTTAAATGAAGGGGATGAAGAAGAAAATGGTGAAGATGGGTCAACTCGTCAAAATAAAGGTAAAACATTAATTGAATTTAGTAACAACGATTCAAATTATAAGATTGCATTAATGAATAATGCTGGTTCAAATGATCACAGAGCAATGCTAGATAGTTTAAACGATGACAATGATGATGAACAAGTCAATCCAGATACTAAAAAGCAATTATTTATAAATAATAACGCCAACGATTTAAAAAGAAGTGATTTTAGAATGAACGATGCTATAGTTTCAAGAAGTGGTGCTATGGTATTAAGGGGTTTAGATTTTTTAGATCATGAAAGTCTATTACAAAGACCAGTTTTTAATCAATTCGAAAATCAATATTTAGATAACGATAATAGCAACAATGCAAACGATCAAAGCTTGGCATTTTTAAATGATGAAAACAAATTAATAACTCCACCAGATTTTGATACTCCACAACTTCAACAAGAACAACAAGAAGAATCATTACCAGCAACAACTGATGAAAATGTAAATAATGAAAATAAACAATCAGAAATAAGCAATAATAATAATGATGATTGGGGTAATTTTGGTGAGGCTAAAGATGATAGTAGCGACGATGAACATAATGAAGGTATGGGTGATATAGATGACGACGATGAAGATAGATTAAAAGAATTAAATAGCAATGGTGAACAAGATCCAAATAAAAGGCCAATGAAATCTGAAAAAAGCACAAAGAAATCAAAACCAACTACAAGAGATGCATGGGAACTATTAGATCCATTTGAGGATTCCGGCAACAAGCCATTAGAAAGACCATTCAAGAAGGGCAAAACATTCGTAATACCATTTGCTTTATTAGATTCCGAAAAACAAAAGAAACAAAAAAAGAAAATAGATGAAGGTGAAAAAAAGAAGCAATCCAAAGATACAATCAAAGCAGATAGCGCAACATCAATGTCAAACCCAGCCGAGTCCATTTTACAGTTTCCAGATGAATCACTACCTCTAAGAGGGTGCTATTTTAAAGAGTTGGCCTATCTATATAATAAGAATATTCAACAAACTAAAAAGAAACTTAAAGATATCAATGGTGTTGAAGAAAGTGATCTTAATGGAGCCGGTCTAGAGTTATTACCAGAAGAGGATATTGGTAGAACAAGTGGTTATTATGGTGGCAATACTTTTGAACCAAGCAATAATAATGGCAATGGAAATGGTAATGGTGAATATGATGGTGAAGGAAATGGTCCATCTTGGGATGACGATTGGGGTGACTATGGTGCAGCCAAAGATGATAGTAGTGATGAAGATGATGCCAATGGTTTACCAACCTCAGCGACTATTGAACACTATGACGGTCCATTCGATGGTAATCAATATAATTTCGACAATGTAAATATTCCAGATGCAAACTCTGCAAGAGTAGAGCACTACAGTCAACCAACACAAACCTATGAAGAATTATGTAGATCATATGTTGAAAAATACTTGGAAAGTGCTTCCAAATACGTTAGAGAGACTGCTCTCTCACAAAGAGTAAACGAATGGAATAATAGGTTGATGCCAATTCTTCAAGAACAAGACTCCCATCCATCTTTTGATATTCACACCTATGGTAATAAATTTTTATATTCAATGAAACCCTATGCTACAAACAAAACAAACCAACTAGATAATAATGACGATACAGAAATAGAGCAAAACCTCGACGACGAAGATACCGATCCAACTTTAGAAATTAATAAAGAAGCCGTGGTTTCATTTAGAGATATCACAAAGCAATCACCAGTATATGAAATTTGTAGAATGTTTACATCATGTCTTCAATTAGCAAATAATGGTAACATTGAAATTATTCAGCCAGAAAGCAAAGACGATATTGAGCAATTAAATTTCCATCTCTTAACATTAAAGAAAAAACATGATATCGAAGCTCTAATGGTACCATCACAACATAAAAGCCTATTGGATGACGATGATGAAGAACAAAATGAATTAATAAATAAACACATTGAAAATTCAACACCAAAAAAGAAAAATAATAATAAAGGGAAAAAGAAAAAAAAAACAACTGTAACAACAACAACAACAACAACAACAAGAGGTAGTAAAAGACAAATTAAAAAATTAAAACAAAACGAAGAAGAGGAAGATGAACAAAGTGAACAGGAACAATCCGAAGAAGAAGAAGATACCGATGAAGAAGAGGAAGAAGAAAGTTCAGATGATGAAAAAGTTAAAAAGAAACAAAAAACATCTAAAAAAACTAGTAAAGCCACTAAATCAAAACCGAAATCTAAAAAATTACAAAATGGATCTAAATAAAAAACTTTAAAATAAAAAAGAGTTTATTTTGTGTATTTTATTAATCTTTATTTATTTTATATTATTTATCTTTTGGTGGGTCGCTTGATAAACCAAAATATTTTGAAATTGATGAAAATATACTCTGAGGCTTTTCCTCTTGTTTATTATTAATGTCATTTGAAGTGTTCTTTGTTATATCATTTGTAAACTCTGAAATTTTTGTTGTTAAATCTTGTGTTTCTTTGGATATATAATTTGAAAAATCATCGTAATATTGTGAAATTTTAGTTCCTAAATTTGGTTCTTGTGGAGTTTTTGGTTCATCAGGTTTTGGTTTGTTTGGAGTATAGTTGGTATCTCCATCATTGCTTGGTGATGATTTTGGAACTATAGATGAAAACATTTTTTTTACTTTATTTGATACAGTTTTTACAAATTTCTTATCCTCGCTAATGACATAAACAACTTTTCCTTCGCCATATACAACCCTTAACATTTCAGTTTCAAAACCAAACATTGAAACCCTTTTTAATTTACCTGCTACATGACCAACCAAATCTCTATAGCCTTTAATATTATAATAAACCTAAATAAAATGAATACAATAGTTAATTATTTGTTATTACTATGACATGATAATACTGCTATTATTGTTTTACTTACATGATATATACTTGGATCTTGAATACTTCTTCTTATTGAAAATTGTGAACGTAAACCAAGACCATGAGCACTAAAATCCTCTTTAAAAAGTTTAATAATACTTTTATTGGCTCGAAGCTCTGCAATGGTTTGATTATACATAATATTTTCAATAATCATATCCTCTAAACTGTCATAAAGTACATATCCCAATAAACAAATTGCCCCTATACCAAGCAAAGCAAATACTGACCTTTCACTTTCACTTTTACCGCCATCCTTTGGCAAATAATTAAAATAGTCCTCATCTCTTTTATATCTTTTTTGGTGTTTGAATTGATTATTTCTATTTTCATTTATAAATAATTTATTATTACTTTTATTATAATTATCAATATATGATGATGCATTATTTATAAATCTTTTATTATTTGTAATGAATCTTTTACTGTGACTACTTAAAACTAAATTATTTAAAAGTTTGCTACCACCATTACAAAAAAATCTTGTTGGGGTATTCATTTTGTTTTTTGTTTTGAAAAAAAAAAAATGAAAAAAAAAAAAAAAAAAAAAATTAAAAAAATTAAAAAAAAAAAAAAAGATGATTTTTCTTTTATTACAAAACGATTATTTTTTATTTTAATTATAACCCATTTAAGGTTAATCAGTTTTTGATAACCCTTAAAATTTCTAATAAATATCTTGAATTTAAAAATAAAACATTTTATGTTTATAAAATATGCTTTCATTAAATTGAATTAATATAATAATTTCGTCAAATTTATATATGTGTTAATTCACACATCGACCTATATATATACAGTCAAAATTTAATTTTAAAAATTATTTTTAAATAATTTTTAAATGATTTTTAAATTATTTTTTAAAAATAATAAAATAAAAAAAAAAAATTATATTTTATTTTATTATTATTATTATTATAAATAAAACCAAGATATAAAAAACAGATAAAATATTTCTATTTATATAAGTTTCATATATGTGAACTTCTATGGTCAACAAAATTCTATAAAAAAATTAAAAAAAATTAAAAAAAAAAAAAAAAAAATTTAAAAAAAAAAAATTTAAAAAAAATTTTAAAAAAATATTAAAAATTTTTTATTTTCTTTTTTTTAAATTTATAATTTTATAAATCATTAGTTTTTGATAATTGACAAAAAAACAATAATATATCACAGTTTTTTTTATAAATAAATAAATAATTATTAAATAGACGACACTCTTAGTTATTATTTATTAATAAATCCCAAGTTATATTCAATATAGAAATAAAAAACTAAATTGGATACTGTATTATTATAATTATCAAAAAAAAAAACAAATAAAACTCATTCACTATACCTTATATATAAATAAAAATGGTAATATTATAATATATTATATAATATCACATTGCTTTTTTATATCTAAATAAAAATATTAATTTTTTTAATTTATTCTAGACAACTCAAGTAGATTCAGGTCATGAAGATATGATTGTATGTAAAATATAGAATATTCAAGCTAAATTAATATGGTGAGGACTTACTAATTTCAATTTTTATTCTATTTCCTTTATAGCATGATGCTCAATTTGACTATTATGGTAAGTTTTTAGCTACATGTTCATCCGATAGATTAATTAAAATTTTTGATGTTGGTGGTGAAACTCATCAACACCTTGTAGATTTAAGAGGGTAGGTTTGGTTCATAGCATATAGTTAAATATTAAATAGATATTAATTTTTTTTTATACCTCATATTTAAACTATCTTTAAATTTTATTAATTAAAAGACATGAAGGTCCAGTATGGCAAGTTGCTTGGGCACACCCAAAGTTTGGTAAAATGTTAGCATCAGCATCATATGATCGTAAAGTTATTATTTGGAAAGAAATTGCACTTAACCAATGGCAAATGGTTCATCAATTTGCTGGTCACGAATTATCAGTTAATTCAATTTCATGGGCCCCACATGAATTTGGTTTATGTTTAGCATGTGCAAGTTCTGATGGTACTGTTACCATTCATAACTATAATAGTAAGTATTTTCAGACAATTACAGCAGAAGTTGGACTATAGTAGTATTGGTAATTTAGTTACTAATTCATTAACAATTATAAATTTAGATAATGTTTGGGAAGCCCCACAAAAAATTCAAGTATCACAAATTGGTGTTAACTCAGTATCATGGGCACCAGCAGCAATTCCAGCATCATTAGTTGTTAGTACAAATGCATCAATTCCAATGCCAGTTAAAAGAATTGTAACAGGTTCATGCGATAATTTAATTAAGATTTTCAAATATGTTGAGGATAAATGGATTCTCGATAAGCAATTAGAAGATCATAAAGATTGGGTTAGAGATGTTGCATGGGCACCAAATATTGGTTTACCATACTCTAAAATCGCTTCATGTTCACAAGATCATACAGTTATTGTTTGGACTCAAGATGAAAATGGTCAATGGACTGGTAAACCATTACCAAAGTTCGACGATATCGTTTGGAGAGTAAGCTGGTCTGTTATTGGTAATATTTTAGCTGTTTCATGTGGTGATAACCAAACCACCCTCTGGAAGGAAGGTGTTGATTCCGAATGGAAATGTATTTCTCAAGTTGAAAATAATTAAATTAATTAAAATAAAAAATAAAATAATATAATATAATAATATAACAATAACATCAAACAACAAGCAAAAAGCAACAACAACAACAAAACAACAACAAAACAACAACAACAACAACAACAACAACAACAACAACAACAAAACATCAACTACATAAATTATATTAATATTTAATATTTAATAATAAACAATATTAATATTTAGTATTTAAAAAAAAAAAATAAAAAAAAAAAAATAATTAAAATCAAATTTATTGTTATGATTTAGTTTATTATTATTTCTCCAATAGTTTTTACATTTAAAAAAATACTATATTAAATATTTATAATTATAATACCAATCCACCCCATCCATATCTTAACCCCCATTACATAAATTTAATATTTAAATATTTTAGTTTTTTAAATAATTTAAAAAAGAAATAACACACCCCAGTATTTTAATTTTTTAATTTATTTTTTTTTATAATTTACTTTTTTAGAAAATATTTTTTTTTCGACTGGGGGTAGTTTCTTTTTTAATGTAATAGTAATATTTAATTTACTAATCAAAATATAAATAGAAATTAATAAATATAAAAATGATGTAGAAAATATTAAATAAACAAAAACTTAATAGGGATTAAATGAAAATTCATTTTTTTGTTTCATAGATTTTAAAATCTATAAATTGAAAAAAAAAACTAACTTCAAACATCAAATTAAAACAAATATCAAAAACAAAAACAAATTATTTATTTATTTATTTATTTATTTATTTATTTATTTATTACTTTAATTTAAATTTAAAAAAAAGAAAAAAAAAAAACTTTTTAAATTTAATATATCCAAAAATGCATTGGAAATCTATTTACGGTATAGGCTTTTTAGTCTTAATAGCTGGTATGTTTTATAAAAAAATATAAAAAAAATTAAATATAAAAATATATTAATATTTTCTTTGTTTATAAATTAGCTTTAGCAGTATATTCATCTCAAACTGGTAATAACTATCATAGTTTATGTCCAGCTAAAAATAAATGTGAAAGAGTTAAAACATGGCAAGAAAGTGGTCAAACTCTTACAAAATTCAATTGCTATATCAAAAATATTGGTCGTCATCCATTAGGTAATGTTGCAATTAATCTCGATGGTGCTCAAGTTAAAGAAATTTGGGAAGTCGAGTCATCAGACAAAGGTAAAACTTTCAACTTTGTCGAATGGAGACGTTCTAGTCCATTAGGATTTGGTGACGTTCACAGCTGGGGTTATATTGTTTATGGTAAAGAACCATTAGAAGTTAACATTTGTGATCAAAAACCAAAAGGTCAATTCAAAGCAGTTGTTAATGCTGAACTCCCACAATGTAAATTAACCAATGAATGTAAAAAAGCAAACTCATGGGTAAATGGTAATATCACAAACACTCAATTCGAATGTGAAATTAAAAATATTGGTAATGAACCATATTCATTCATCGATATCCGTATTAATGACAATGCTGCTCTTTACAATGTATGGGAAATTATCACTGAAAACTATGGTATTTCATGGAATTTAGTTAATTGGAGAATTGAAAACAGTCTCCAACCAGGTAAAACTCATAAATGGGGTTATATTGTTGAATCAGATAAACCATTAGATGTTCAAGTTTGTCAATATATTGATAACGTTGTTGCTCCACAAAACCATACCAAAAAAATCGTTTCAGAAGCTACCCCATCTGTATGTTTCGTTAATAACAAATGTACCCAAGATAACCAATGGAAAAATGGTGAACAAGTAAACACCCAATACTCTTGTAAAATCACCAACAATGGTAAAGTCCCACTCTCACATATCGATGTTCGTTTAAATAATAACACCGAACTCTACAATATTTGGGAACTTCAAACATCAAACTATGGTATTAGTTTCGACTTACCAGATTGGAGAATCCAAAATGCCCTTGAACCAGGTCAATCACATTCATGGGGTTATATTGTCACTGATAACAAAGAATTAGATGTTAAAGTTTGTCAATATATCACTGAAGCTACCCACTAGATTAAATTTTAAACAAATTTAAAATTTTACAATAAACTTATTTATTTATTTATTTATTAAAAAAAAAATGTGTTTTAATTTCTTGATTTTCAATTTTTTTTTTACTTTTTACTCTTTTCTTTATCGTTTTTTTATAACATTTTTTTTTTTTGTACCAAATAAAGTTTTCATTTCCAAATAAAATAAAAGCTCTAATTAATCCTAGGAAAAAAATATTTAAAAAAAAATAAAAAAAAAAATTCGATGAAAATGAATAAAAAAATAGATATATTTATATCTTTATTTCTTTTTTTTTTTTTTTTTCAAAAACAAAAATATCTTTTTGCAAAAAACCATTTAAAATTTTTCTTTTTTTTATTTTATTTTTTTAAAAAAAAATATTTTAAAAAATGACCTAAAATTTTTTTTATGTTGTTGTTATAACTTTTAGAGATGGATATTCGATCCATGGCGTTAACTAAAAATTTTTTCATACAAAAAAAAAAAAAATTATTTTTTTTAAAAAAAAAAATAAAAAAATAAAAATCAAAAAAAAAAAAAAAAAATAAATTGTTTAAAAAAAAAATTTGCTCTTTTTTATTTTATTAATTTTTTTAAACAATTATTGTTTTGTGGAAAGAGTATATTATTATCTCAATAGAATAATATCTTTTTTCCACATTTCTTTTTTTTTTTTTTCTTCTATTCATATTTATTTTCATTATTAATATTTATTTATATTTTTTTTACATTTTTATTTTTATTTTTATTTTTATTTTTTCATTTGTATAATTTTTAGTAATAATAATAATAATAATAATAAAAATAATAATTTTCAAGTAATTATAAAATTAAATTTAATTATTTTTTTATAAATAAATATATTGGTAAGTTTTCTTTTAATAAAGGATCAAATTTATTATTAGTATTTATTGTCTACAATCATTCTCATTTTGTTGTTTTTATTTTAATTAAAGAAACGCTGCCTTATTACATGACGTTTTAAGTAAATAA